CTGGCCGAAGCGGGCCCATGGCGGCGGCTCCTCGGCGGCCGGAGGCGCGGACTAACGGGCCGACCCGGGCGAGACGGGGGCGGGCCGGGCCTGAGAGGCTGGGGCGGAGCGGCCTAATAATGTCCCAACGCGGCGCCGGCGTCTGTGCGGGCGGGACTGTAGGGGGCAGCACAGGGGCGGCTGCCGGGCGGGCATCCGGGTCCCCCCAGCACCGGATGAAGCGTGTTGGCACACAGTGCGCCCTCGCTAGGTGCTAAACGAGTCCATAAAGGCATGCCAGGAGTCCTCAGCTGGCCCCTGCTGCCCACAGGCTCTTGTGGTCAGCCTTGGTCAATGCTGGTGCCCAGAGCCTGGCCCTGCGCGCCATGCACAGTGAACCTCGATAAAGCACTTCTAGAATCCCTCCCACCTCCCACAGACCCCTACCTTCCAACCATGTCTGTGCAGTTCCAGGCAGGGGATTGGGAGAAAGATGAGGCTGGGGAGGACCTGGCATGTCTCCAAACATTTTTCTTTTATTTTCTTAATATAGTAGCTTATTCATTTGTCGCTCTTAGAAAATTTCATTTTTGACTGGACTCAGAAGTCGAAGCTCCCAGAGAGGCTACCCTTTGTCCCTTGGCAATCTGTTCCTGGCATTTTCTTTGGCCTCCTTCATTCTTTTGGTCAAAAGCATGCCATGCACTCATTGAGCCTCGTGCTCGTTTTTCTCAGTGTGCTCTTTCTCCAGAGCAGTACCCTTCCATTTGTGCTGCAGGGCACAAAGAGCGACAAGACTCTGAATGCTGGGTGCTTTGGTCCTGGGTTTCTTGCCTTCTTTGTTTAGAAGCTTTCTTACAGTGAACCTGCAGACTTCATCTTCTTTAGAGAGGTTGAAGAGTTTGCAGGTTCTGCTGACTCGTTTGGGCCCCAGGCGACAAGAGCAAAGTAGTATCAGTCAGTCGCTGGATATGCTTCCCTCCTTTCTTTGCAGTAACTCAGGTTGGCATCCACAGTGCTACCCTAGACAGATTTGCTCTTTCTTTCTCCACTTCTCCTTGATCAGGAAGAGGAACGCCTCTTAGTAGCAGGCAAATGTGGCCATGTGTCAAATCTTCCTGCTTCATGGGGAAACCTTGCTTGCCTTTCCACCACTGATTGAGACAACCTGTCCTTCCCCCTTGCTATGTCACATAATAAGCAACAACTTCTTTGACCATTCTATTACTGTGTAGTTTATGTCCTAGTTTGCCCTTCTTGCTCAGGCGAAAGACCTGTCCCTAGGAGGATGAGACAAGAGGAGTGGCCAGTGCCCAAGTACCAAGGTAGCACAGTGTATGGCAATTTTAGAGTTTTTCTGAGAGAGTGGACTCTAGTGTACGGATGCAAGCTATACACATGGATTTTACATAATGGTATGCATAGAAATCAAATAGATTACATCTGTGGAAAGAATCACTGGAGAAGCTCAATATCAGCTGTGAAAACTAGGCCAGGTGCTGATTGTGGAACAGACCACCAACTATTCAAATACAACTTCAAGCTGAAGTTGAAGAAAATGAATCAAATCCATAGGAACCAAAATATGACCTTAAGTCTATCCTATTTGAAATTCAAAACCATCTCAGAAACAGGTTTAAGGTCTTAGACACCAATGAGCGAAGACCAAATGAGCTGCGGGAGGATATCAAGAATATCATCCATGAAGAATGCAAAAGGAGGAGGAAGAAATGGCCAAGATGGATGTCAGTTGAGACACTGAATATGACATGAGAGCACCAAGAAGCCAAACCAAAGGCAAGAAATCAGGAAATTGAGGAGCTGAACAGAAGATTTCAAAGGGCAGCTTGGGAAGACAAAGTATTATAATGAAATGTGCAAAGAGCTGGAGTCAGAAAATAAAAAGGGCCGAACTCGCTCAGCATTTCTTAAGCTGAAGGAATTTAAAAATTCAAGCCATGAGTTGCAATACTTAAGGATGCTTTGAGCAGGATATTAAATGATCCAGGAAGCATTAAAAGAAGATGCAAAGAGTATACAGAGTCACTATGCCAGAAGGAATTGGCTGATACAGAAGAATTCCATGAAATAATGTATGAACAAGAGGCTGTGGTGGTGAAAGAAGTTCAAGCTGAGCTGAAGGAACTGGAAAGAAACAAGGCCCCAGGAGTTGATGGCAAACCAATTGATATATTTAAACAAATAGATGCTGCCCTGAATTCACTCACTAAGTTGTGTCAAGAAATCTGGAAGAAAACCACCAAGTCAACTGACTGGAAGATATCTGTATTTGTTGCCATTCCAAAGAAAAGTGACCGGATAGAGTGCAGAAATTATCAAACAATATCATTACTAGCACATGCAAGCAAGATTTTGCTGAAAATTATCCAAAAATGACTGGAGCAGTACATCAACAGAGAACTACCAGACGTGCAGGCTGGGTTTAGAAGAAAGAGGCCATGGTACTACGAATTTTTTTTTTTGGTACTACGAATTTTATAGCTAAGGTTAGATGGATCTTGTCTGGAAGCAGAGAGTACCAGGAATGTCTATCAGTGTTTCATGGACTATGCAAAAGTGTTTGACTGTGTGGATCACAACAAACTGGCTGACTCTGAGAAAAATGAGAACCCCAGAACACTTGATAGTGCTTATGGAAAACCTGTACTTGGACCAAGAGGCAGTTGTCAGAACAGAGCAAGGAAATACCGCATGTTTCAAAATCAGGAAGGGTGTATGCCAGGGATGTATTCTGTCTCCATACTTTTTCAATCTTTATGCAGAATAGATTATCCAGGACGCTGGGCTCTATGAGGGGAAATATGGCATCAGGATTGGAGGAAGATTCATCAACAACCTGTGTTTTACAGATGACACATCCCTGCTTGCTGAAACTGAGGAAGATCTGAAGTGCTTACTGCAGAAGATCAAGGACTGTAGCCTTCAATATGGATTGAAGCTCAACATGAAGAAAACAAAGATTCTCACCACTGGGCCAATTGGCAGCATAATGATAGATGGTTTAAGAGATTGAGATTGTTAACAGCTTTAGTTTGCTTGGCTTCCACAATCAACACTTTTGGTACCAGCAGTCAGGAAATCAAGAGGTGAATTGCACTGGGAGAGTTGGCTGTCAGGGATCTCTCCAGAGAACTGAAGAACAACAACATCAGTCTGGAGACTAAGGTGTGCCTGATCCAAGCCATAGTCTTTGCAATTGCTTGCTGTGCATCAGTGAGCTGGACAATGACTAGGGATGATAGAGAATTGATGCCTTTAAGCTGTGGTGCTGGAGAAGAGTTTTGAATATACCATGGACTGCCAGGAGAACAAACAGGTTCATCCTAGAGAGGGTGAAGCCAGCCTGCTCCTTGTCATGTTGTATGGAGAAACCAGTCCTTGGAGAGGGACATCATGTGTGGAGGGACGGAGATAAAAAGGGAGACCATCGATGAGATGGATTGATACAGTGACTGGGGTAATGAGGGTAGGTGTGTTGGAGACAGAATTGGCACAGGATAGAGCAGGTTTCAGGATTACTATGAGTCTCAAGTGATTTGATGTCACATAACAACAACAAGCTTTTTGTTAGAGTGTGAGGCTGACAAGAAAGATGAGGAGGCAGAAGTGAAGGTTTAACAAAAGTAGATAGTTCACTAGAAAGTTATGTCCCAAAGGGACAGACTTCCTCCTTGAAAAGGAAATGTGGAGGAGGCTGAGGTAGTGAGGTGATGTTCTCTTTATGGCTTTCTCCTTTGGTGGGCCTTGGGGTTAGCATCTGAGCCAATGAGAAGATGCCATGGACAGTTCAATGTTTGGTAGATGGTTCTTATTCTGGTTCCTGTTCTTTGACATCACTCATTCACCCAAAATAGTCACTGCTTAAGACATGGTTCACAGAACTTTTGCCTCCCTTAGGAAGAACTTGCTCAAGATTCCTCAAACTAAAAGAAATGAAAAAACAAATTGAAGCCTAGAGCTGCAATTCCTAGGGATGCAATACTTAGGGAGCTCTGGTTGCCTAGTGGTAAGAAGCTACATTGCAATCACAAAGGTATGCAGTTCGAATCCGCCAGCTGTTCCGTGGGAGAAGAATGGGCAGTCTCCTTCTGTGCGATTAACTGCCTCTGAAAACCTACTGGAAGATCAGTCATGGGTAGGGTGCAGCTCAACAGTACTCAATAGCATGAGGGCAAAATCTTGGATTTGCACAGGGAAATTATCCAGGAGACATCAAGCATCAAAAGAAGATGAAGGGAATAGACAGAGTCACTATATCAAAAAGAAATGGACGACACTGCAGGAAATACCATATGTTCAAGAGCCAATAGTAATAAAGGAAGAAATAAGGCCCCAGGAACCGATGAGACACCAGTTGACATGTTTCAAATGACAGATACAGCCCTGGAGGTGCAGTCAATGCCAGGAGGACAGCTGCTGGCTGACTAACTGGAGGAAATCCATGTTTGTTCCCATTTCCAAGAAAGGTGATCCAATAGGATGTGGAAATTATCAAACAATATAATTACTATCAAATGCAAACAAAATACTGCTGAGGATAATTTAAAACAACCAGAACAGTACATAGAGAACAGAGAACTGCTAGACATTCAAGCTGGATTTTGAAGAGGCCATGGTG